AATGAGTGAACTTGGCCTTCCAAGGAAGCACAATTTGAGAGCTGGTTAGTGTTGTGCACCTACACCCTTTATCACACTCTCTCTGTTTAGGTTATTCCTTCTCTGAGTATTAGGAGAGGCAGGAATTGCAGGAATACAGAGGCAAAAAGCAAACAGGTCTGCAACCTAGCCTGATACTGAATCTTTGGATTTAGTCTATTATATACCTAATTCTGATCATCATTGTAAGACAAAGACCAACTGCAAAATTTCTTGGAAGGTTGGAAGCACCAGTGACAGGAATCACGCAACCACATGTTCCAACAAATGTGGGCTCTTCATATCTACTTCTACTAAGTGCCAACAATATATTTAGCAATTCTATCTCTCATTGGCTTTAAAGGCAGTTTGTTAGCACTTTGCAAATGATAGCCCATTCAACGAGTGTAAGCCTTGCTAACCAGACAAAGAGCAGAAATAGGAACCTATTCAATTACAGTGAATTCTGTTAATGCAGAAAGGGGACTACAGGAATGTAGAAGGATAATCAACATAGGTAAACACATTTATAACAGAAAACCACATTTAATAAGTAATTCATTTATTAATGACAACTAGGAAAAGGATCATTACCACACATGGACATAGCTTACTGTGATGATGGACTAATGAGAAAAACTTAATTATTATAAGTTTCATGTCTCAATAAGAACTTCCAATGCAGTTCATGATAAAACAGATAAAAACAATCAAAAAAATCCCATCTGCACTGTTACTTCTATTGTGTTACCAATAATAAACTACAAGAAATATTCTTAACAAAGGCAAAGGCTTGTTTAATACCTACTGCAATTTTTATCATGTTCATCATGAAGTCAGAATTTATCAGACTATTAAGGTAAAAACAGGCAAGGAAAACATTGGGATATATATATAAAATTTAAAATCTGAAATATAGAGAATCTTACTTTTAAAATGGGATTTTGTTTGGAAGAACCACAGTTGCCACCTCACAGATTTATTTCTTGCTGTATTTTACACTGGAATCTCTTGCAACAAGCAAGCAGTAGGTGGAGAAGACTACATAATTTACCAAGTGACAAGAAGGGTATGAACTTGACTGTTGGAGTTTTTTCATAATTTTGGGGATCACGGAGAAGAAATTTCCATCAAACAAAATAATGTGTGTAAGAATTTCCTTGACTAGTTATTGATATTACTGGCATATTTGGCAAGTTGATTAAAAGCTCAATATTTCATAGCCATGAAATTTTAGACCTCCTGCATGATTTCTCCAGAAATCTAACTTAACATCTCCAGGCAACTAACTTAATTTAAATCAAATAAAATTTACTTTTTTTTTCAAGACCACTTTTATACCTACAAATAGGGTTATATTTGTGCTGTGTGGATATTACTGGTACTAAGTGAAAAAGATATGTAGCTGTTTTTCACTAAAGCAGAAAATGGTTTTGAAGTTGGAGGATGCATAACTTTGTACTTTCACAGAAAGTCTATAATTATATTATTAATATAAATTATTAATATATATTGTTAATAACAGCGCATTAAAATTACTGATTATGCAAATATCCTAACTTGTTAAACTTTATTTTCTTTAAACTGCTTAGCTAAAATACTAACACTCAAATTCAAATTAACTGCTTAGTTCATTTGTGGATTAAAATGTTTGTGTAAATTCAGTGTATTTCTACAAGAAGCAATGGGAAATAGTTCTATTGGAATAAGTGTCTGTGGGTAAATACACTCAGTCAACCATTTGCAAAAAATATAGGAAAATTGTAAAGTATAGTATAATACCATACATTTTTTATCATCCAATAATTTCCCTGAATGTCAGTTTCATAGCAGTGGTATTCAATACATACACCTACCCCTCAAAAAAGGGGGGGAACTGCAGAAAAAACAACTTAAATGTAGGTATGCCTATATAATATTTTGTGAGCAGATCAAACTCATTTTTTTCCCTGAATTTAAAGCATGCACACATTTATTTTGCCCATATTTTGAGTTGATAAGAAGCTGTGTAACTGCATTAATTCTTGAGCTAATATACCGTGGCTCTCAACAGGGCTAATTAGTTTGGGTTCAGCCCCATGTTATAGCTCCAGATTGGCTTGGAAAGTAATCAAAGCAAGCTCACATCTGTCTATACAAGACTATGTGTATATACTTGGTACCAGTAACAACAAATAATGCATACTAATTCAGAGTTTGATAACCATTTCTTCCTCCTTTTTTTTTTTTTTTTTTCTTTTCTTTATAAAGGTAACAGTTTACGGAAGACAAATGCTTGAATGGCAAGTTAATTCATGAAAAAGACAAAACATGTTGACTTCATCATAGACCATGCTATTATATATATATCAGACACCCCTGTACATTCATGACACTAGCATTCTGAAGTTTTACCTCTTGAAATATGAAATAATGCTACGCATTAGGAACAGGCACAGCCTTATATATAGATATATAATCTGTGGAATAAGACGAGCAAATTCTGCAATCAATAAAGGATTCACAGACTTTAAGGCCAGAAAGGATCACTGTATCATCTGCTATATTGTGCAGTGCTACAATGTTCAACCATCTCCTTGTTTAACCCGTAGCACACTTCTTGAGATGGGTTTTGGCTTCAGCTCATAGGGAGTGGAGAATGGAACTTGACATGCCTTTCTTTGCTAAAATTGAGAAGCAGCAACTCCTTAATTACTTTTTGTCAGTAAGTGAACACACTTTTCTAAACCTTTTTGCCTGTAGTAAACCAAAAAGATTCAAAACTATAGGATGTATTTGAAACAATTATTGCAGATACAGATTTTGCAACACTGTCCTTATAACGTGCCTGAACATCTGCAGCTTTGATGCATGAGGTGGCTTAGCTCCATCATTTCACCTCATTATCCATGGCAGAAAGGGGAGGAGATTGTAGCAAACTTTAGGAGATCATCCCTACAACTCACTGGGCTTTAGTTAATACATGACCCTACAATAAGTAGAGTTCATTTGCTACACGCCCTACATACAAATTCTAGTTTTTCCTTAACTCATTCAGAAGTTTTGAGTTTTGATGCCTGGAATGGACCTTGCTCAGTAATCCAATTAACTGTCTTTTGAAGAGAGCAAGGCACAGCCGTAGTCAGGTCAGAAGATCAGGCATACTTGGTAAAATGTCAGACACAGAGCATCAAACCAGTAAATCCTACACTGAAATAATTTGTCCTGTATTGTAGCAAGATATCAAATTCTATTACGATGTGCAATTGTGGAATATAGACTTCAATAAAAGTTTACTTCATATGTAACATTGTTTGTTTTCAGGTTGTCTGTAGGTGTTGCACTGATTTACACACATTCATGTTTCAAAATACTACTTGCAAAAGATGGTACTTGGAGCACAATTCTGTGATAAAGGACAAATTCTGTGAGCTCTGAGTCCCAGTGTTAAAAAATCATCCCAGCAAAGCAAAACCAAGCATATTTTTTTTCTGCAAAACATTGCTAGCTAAATTCTAATCTTGTAAATTAGAAACCCAGATTCATCAGAGCACAATAGTTCCTGCACCCTCTACCAGCAGTAGATGGCTGAAATAAGGCATTACTTGCCACTCCTTAAAAATGTGTTACAGTTTGCGAAGCCAGTGTCGTCAGAAGTGAACTAAGTTTATTAACATCATTTTAGACTACAGGACCCTTAGTGTTTCTAAGCAGACAATTTTTGTACTCCAGGTAAACATATTAATGTTTATGCATTTTTTTACATTAATTGTTCTATTCAAAACAGGAATTCACATTCTTCTACAGTTTAAAACAATATAAAAACTCCATAGAATATTCTTAATATTCTAGATCTACATCTGGGCAGATCAACCATTGTGAGCTAATTTCAGTTATCAACAAGCTCCCCCGTGTAAAAGCCACTCAGAAAAATTCTTATGCTATTTTTACTAATATTTTAATATAATTTTTTGTCCAAATAAAATTACTTAAATTTGATTTATAAATTGAGTTTTCATAACTGATATCCAGTTAATTAAAATATATTTCTATTCAGTGGACAGATCATAAATTATTCCCAAATAGAGGGAAAGATGAAATATTCTGTCCCTAAGCGTCATGGCATCTTTCCTGCTTTCTTTAGGATTTACCGGTTTTACACAGAGATTATAACTAACAACCTATAAATGCAAGCACTTAGTTCATACTACCATATCCTGATTTCACGTTAATTCCTTAATCATATGAATAAGAACCAATCACCAAACACTTACGGACACAATTTTTTTTTACAAAAGATCACAAAAATGGATTAAAAAAAGGCAAAGCCGCAGATTTTACCAATCATATCAATTTTGTATAAGGTAAATCTAATGCCATATTCACCTGTCTGTAAGGCAGCTTGCATAAGAAAGCTTGAAAAAATATTCCACTTTTATCAATACAAAACAAATTAATCAGTAAATATTTAAAATTTATGAGGCATTTCTATGTGAAAACAATCACGATAAATAAGCTGAATCAGGCAGTTCTAGGAAAAGCTTCAGCTGAAAACATGCATTTACAATCTATCCTAAAAACAAGCAGAACAGAGCACCAATCCAAGCATTAGCTCAATTAAAAAAAAGGAAAAAAAAAATGAAATCCTTTCTCGGCTTAATAACTTGTTAGTTCTTGACAAGTGCAACAACACAACAATAAGCCAGTCAAAATGAGTTTTTAAAGCGAGGTTATGCCCTTCGTGTTGTGTTATCACAGTGGCAGATCAAACTGCTGACTTGGACTCTTTCTGCCAGCAGTGCTGATGCTGCCTCTATGAAGCTGCTGTCACGGAATAGTCATGGTACCTGCTCTTGCCTATAGAAAAGCACTAAATTGAACTCGAAGTAGTGTCTTTGTGATATCTTTTCAACAAGTCATGTCCCATTCAGCCTGCTAGTTTATCTCTGTCAGGCTGGGGGCCCCAGTGGTTTGCATGAGCTGTCAGGGACAGGTATACCAACCTGCTCGGTGCTAAGGAGGTAATGCATCTTTCGGGCTTGGTATTCCTTTTCTCTTTCTTTCTTTTCTAGGTCTCTCCTTTTCTCTTTATTTTCCTTCATTTCTGCATACGCTTGAAGTTCATTCCTGTCACAAAATATGTCTGCTAATTATATTTCAACAATAAAAGACGTGATACCGTTTTATTTTACTTTAACCCTTTTATAGCTTCAGTGTTCTGCTATTATGTATTGGCAGTATACTGACGCCACTGGAATGCAAAATTACAGTTCACTCAGTTCCACAGCAGCAGGGTGCTACATGGACATAACTGTGAAGAAATAGGATTAAAATAATAGGAAATACGAACAATGTATTAGTTCATAGTGCTTACTCATTTGAAGAATATGTCAACCTCAAGTATTTTTGTAGCTTGATAAATTAGTATTCATAGATGTCCTTTTTTTGTCTTTAAGAGTCATTTTAGTTTGAATTTCTCTAAGTAATTATAATTTAGTGATTTTCCTTCAAATGGTTTCAAAATAAAAATTGTTTGCATATGTTTTGGATAGTGCCTTGCTGCACCTCCTCATCAGCCAACATGGGAGACCTTATGGAATGAGAGAGACAAAGGATAAGAGTTAACATTCACCCCTAGAGCCTTGAGCCTTATGTAGGCATAGAGAAGAACTGGATGTAAACATTTTATGTGTGCAATGTCCTTAAGAGGAGTTTCCACAGCATTAGGCTTCTTGCACAGATCACTTTGTACTCTGCTCTGATACCAATGGTACTGGCCAACACAAGAAAGAGGAACGTAACTGCCTCATGAGCCACTTCAGGACAGTGTTTTGCAAACACATAACATCACCTAAATGAGTGGGTCTGTGTATTCAACAGGTCATAGAAAATTCTTTTATCATAACAGGAATAAGAAACTGTACCTAAAACAGCTCTCGAAGAATGGAGAAAACTCATTATTTAAACAGAATGCTTAGAGGAAAACTTTAACAGAAAATAGGCATAGATTTTGTCCCCAGTGGCTTTTTTTCATAGAGCAAGTCTTGCCATAAATTATGCAAAGAGTGGATTGAATTAATGTTCTATAAGAAATGAAATTCCATGTTATTGTGCACAGCACATGTGCATGGAATTTTTTTGACCTAGTTAAAAAAGGTTAGTTTGATTAACATGTGTTATTTTTGTTATTAAGAAATAGCTAGTTCAAATTAACCTGTGTGCCAAAGACACCAAGCATATTCAGTCAACCATATAGATTGTTTAAAAGTTAATTGAGTAAATTCTACTCTTTTTTTTTTTTAAACATGTGTATATATGATAAAATAAAAGCAAAGAAAAATATACTATTAATCTATCTGGATAATTCCAGCAAAACAGATCATTTAGACAGGTCCACATTAATAGTCTCAGTTGGTTCAAGGAGTACCAAATAAGACATTCTAGGACAAGGGTTAAAACCTGTCAAAATATTCACATTAATAAGTTGCTGATATGAATAATCCCATGAGAAAGTCATATTGCTCCTGAAAGTGTTTTTAAGATTGTAACTCAGACTTATCATAATGTTAAATTAGTTCATCAAAATACGTGAAAGAGCAATAATTGCTTTATAAATATGAATACTATGAAATCACATTCTTAAATACAAGTTGCAATGTAGAATTTTTGCTTCATGCTATCTTTCAAGTTTTTATCAACTAAAATACTTAAAACATTAAGTAATTAAACATGTTTTATTTCAAGTGTAAAAGAAAAAATAGAATGAAAAAGGAATACATTAAGGATCAGGAAAGATGTATAGGTCTGTTTCAATCTCTGGAAATATTTTTTGTTGCAGTTTACTGTTAAAGGCCGCTAATACAATATTTCATACAAGGTTACTTATGAAGCACACTGACGTTTAAAAATCACCATGCTATGCTTTTGCAGCAGTGTAATTTTTTTCCAACATAAGATTAAATTGCAAAATAAATGAATTACTTAGAGTGGCATGGCCCCCATTTTGCCACCCTTCTCTTGAAAATTGCTTATTAATATGAAAAAAGAAGTTGGAAAATAGCCTGTTTTACTTTATGCATAGTGTTTCGGGGCCTCAAAGCCTGCAGAGCCAGACTAGCTGCACATTTTAGATTGTGTTGGCAAGCAGGGATGATGACCTTTCTGACCTGCATCTCAAGGCTATTATTAATCGCTAAGTAACCTGGTAAAGCCAAACAAATTTGTTTCCATTGAAAGGATCTCTATCTGTGTCTGAGAATTTGTGCTGTACCAAACAAACCTCATTAACTGTGTCCATTTTTGACAAAGAACTAGGAGTTGGAGAGATTGGCGACCTTTCTTTGTCCTTAAGGTACAGATTTCAGAGGCACTGCATGTAGGTACATAAGCATTTTTACTTGGAAACTCTTTGTTCTATATCAATCAATCATAAAAAAAAAGAAAAAATAGAAAATGCATGTAGTATCAACCTAGTTCTTTTATTTTATGCCACTTTGCCTTCAATATCAGAGTGTACGATCCCTGTTTCACATATTTAACACTATTTATTGTTAGTTTTTGATTACAGAGTGCCCTACTCAGCTTTAGTGTTGCTATCTGTAACTGATGAAACACCTATTAACATGTTACTACAGTTTATTCATGTTCTTATGTAACTCCTCCCAACAGTGATGTGGATGCTTTGTTATTTAGAACACAACTGGTGATGAAAACCCACAAATAATGATAAAAATATAAATCTGTATTACAGATGTAATGATAATGGGATGCAAAATGTTTCCCATTGTCATTTATCTGAATTTACCAGATTACTTTGACTGAATGATTAATAATCATTATTTGCTGAAATTAATTGAAGACTAAAATACTTGGTGAAGTTCAATGCAATTCATGATCTTTTTAGACAGTACTATCATCCAAATCATCATGATCCTTCCTGAATGTCCTCATTAATGCTGTACCATAATTAATTTTTAAAGTTTGAGGGTTTTTAAGCAGTTACAAATAATTTTCAATGCACTTTTGCAGCTGGCACATTTTGTCAGTTGTGCTGAAATATTTCCACTGTGCATTATTCTGCTCTGTACAGTTGTACAGAACATGCAGACAATTCTGTCTCAGGGATAATAGCTCCCAAGATGATTCCCTCCTGAGAGACAGTACACTATAAGGGGTATATAGTAGTCCACATATTTCTTGACTGGATATTTTAGCATAAATATTGATTTATTCTAAAGCTGTTTGAACGTGAAACTTTCATCTCTTTCACCATACTTTCAAGAATTTGAATACAGACAAGAAAAGCAGAGAATCTAAAAGTAGTTGGACATGAATAGACAATTTTGCACATTAGCAGATTAGTGCTAGTACGTTATGCACTGTGCAGGAGGATTCACTGTTACGATACAGAACATAGGTGATACTAAAGGCATAAACTTAGACTTCCAAATAGAGTTAGACTTCAAAAGAGCTTACATGTAGGTGTGTTTTTGAGAAGTTTTATGCTCGTGACCTTCTAAATGTATGCCTGCCCAGACAAAGAAAATCCAGATTCCATTAAAGTCAATCGAAAATTTGTTGAAATTAAATGATCTTTGAATTATAAACCCTTACACTCACTGCCAGACTTCTCTTTGTTCAAAAATATCTTAGGTTCATTGAGCAATAGTAAGCGATCTCTTCTTGGGACTATATGATAGTATGAATACGAGCTATTGTGCATGATACTCTGCAGACTCTGGACCAGATTTGCTTCAGGATGAACCTTTCATGGTTTGCTGTGAAGTGGGAGAACTGAATATGGGCAAATTGGCCTGCATTTTTAAAGCTTCACCCATATTTTTTGGAGAAAATGAGTTTTGTAAATGCAAAACATGTTTTAGGTTAATTAATAATCTTGTTCTATTTTTATAACTGATCTTTCTGTTGCATGCTTTAGAGTTGGAATAGTACTGCTTATTAAACTATTATAACTGGAAAAGCGAGTATATTTTTTAGCATGTAATCTTTTCATTATCTTAAACATTATCTCAGTATATTAACAACATCCACTGCATTTTCCTACAAACCTGGCTTCCCATATAAGCTTAGTCAAATCAGAGTTTCTCACTTTTTTTTTAATACCTTTGTAGAGGAAATATGTGTAAGTTTTGACAAATGTAGTGCTTTATCATGATCTGAAAATTGTTCAACAAATCAGAAGAATGTCAACGTTATTAGAACACATTCAGGTTGCATTCTTTTGTTAAAAAAAGTGAATATACTGGGTAAAGCAAAGTGTTTCCTTATGATAGGGAATGTTTCATATAATTGAAAATAGGCATAGGATTATCAGCGTATGTGCTCAAAGCCCACAGTTAAAAATTATCTTTGGTAACAAATCTGTGAAGTAGCTATTGATTTCTTAATGATAACATTATTTGGTTTGTATGGTTTGCAAATAAAACATTTCTATATCACAAGGTAACTTATTGTTATTCGGATACTTCATTATGCAGTAGGCAGTTGGTTCCAGCTATGAGATTCAAATTCAGTTGACAGTGCTCCTGCTGTCTGTATAAAGGTTAAAAATAGACATATCATATTGTTCATGGCACTTTTGGAAAGGTCTTCAAGTGATGATTTCAGCAATATACAGATTTCCATAATTCTGCATAGAACTGCATCATTTTACAAATTCACACTGACCTATATTTATTGAACTTTTTCAAAATATTGCATTCTGTTTGAATTTTTCACTAGCATTCTGTGGTCCTTTGACCAGATAACCATAAAATTATAATATTAACTAAAGGACATCTGTGAAAATCAATAATTAGTACAGTTGTCTAGAGTACACAGAAAGAGTATGAGGTTATTGTGATTTTAACCAGTTCAGACCCCAGATGATAAAATTCCTGCAACATAGGTAGTAGGCAACTTTAGCATAAAAGGAGATAACCTAAATCGATTTTACCTACCTGACTATATATCATCCTCCCTGCTCAAACAGAGAATATGGAAGTGAAAATGAAATTAGTGGGACAATACTTTTGGTACATCACTGCATGCCACTTGATCTCACATTACATTGGTGTAGGTGAGAATGGAATATGACCTGCCATAACAATATCAT